CATCACATTTTCTAAATAGCCCTCATCTGTTGAAAATAACTACTGATTTTTGTCTATTTTTTAACTTTTTGTATTTAATTTATAATCATCCCATTCTGAATCATCTTATTAATTCTGTTAGTATTTCAGTTGGTTCTCCTGGATTTTATAGATAGGCATTCATATTGTTTGTAGAGAAGAACATGCTGTTGTCTCATTTTCCTCAAAGGTTAGTGGTTCTTATTTATTTGTCTTGCTTTATTGCATTGGCCAGAACTTCTAGTCCCATGAAAACAGTAATAGTGATAGTGGGAGGCCCGTGAAAATTCAGAGAAAGTTCTGGGGCTGGAGCCAGATTTGACCCATTCCTAGCCCTCCCATTGTCTCTTGAGACTCTGTTCACTCATTTACTCATATGTGAAATATTTTGTGATGACTTCTCTGGGCCAGGCTCTGGGCTGGATACAGAGACCAAGGATGACTTATACAGGGGGCTTCCAGCCCAGAATTTCTCAATATTTATTTATTTATTTGTTTGTTTGATACAGGGTCTTTCTCTGCCATCCAGGCTGGAGTGCAGTGGCACTGTCATAGCTCACTGCAGCCCCAACCTCCTGGACTCCAGCAATCCTCCCACCCAGCCTCCCAAGTAGCTGGAACTACAGGTGTGCACCACCACACCCAGCTAAATTTTTTTGCTTTCGTAGAGACAGGGTCTCACTTTGTTGCCCAGGCTGGTCTAGAACTCCAGGGCTCAAGTGGTCCTCCTGCCTTGGCTTCTTAAAGTGTTGGGATTACAGGCATGAGCCACCATTCCTGGCCAGAATTTCCAAATCTTTTGTGATTTATTCCTCCTTTTTTTGGCCCCTCTCTGGGCCTCAGCCACCTGAGCCTTCTGATCTATTTCCCAACCCTACATACAGGAAAGGAGTTCACCATAGTTCCCATTCCTGCTGTGTTCTTGGCACTTTAAGGCTCCCACCTGTCTTCTAGTACCACCTGGCTCTGTTAACTAATCCAGGCAGAGTCTGCCATTTCGCATACAGAGAGGGAAAGTGGCTTGCTCACGGTCACACAGGCTCTGTCAAGGTCACACAGGCTCATTGGCTGGAGAGCTGGTCTGGGAGACTCTTGTTTCTGTGAAGGTGTAAATGGTTAGTTACACTTTGTATATTACTTATATTTCTTATTGGAAGATTGGCAGGAGTCTGGCTGGGAAGACATACTATTGTCTCATTTTCCTCAAAGATTAGTGGTTCCATGTGCTCCATCCCAGAAGTCATACCTTCACCTGCCTGGGGGTACCTCGAGCATCCCTTGAGCTTCAACTTCGTCTGGCTCCTCCTTGTCCTTCTCCAGCCTCAACTTAGCTGTAACTCCCTTCAGGGATTTACCCTCAGTCTCTCCAACCTCTTCCCAACATCTTCCTGTCCTCCACTTACCACTGGATTGTAATTTTTCATCTGTAGTATATCAAAATGTAAAGAGTTCACGCTCTGGAACCAGACTGCAAAAATCTAAATCTCACTTTCTTTTTTTTAAATTTTAAGTTCTGGGGTACATGTGCAGGAGGTGCCAGTTTATTACATAGGTATATGTGTGCCACGGTGGTTTGCTGCACCCATCAACCCGTCACCTAGTTATTAAGCATGGCATGCATTAGCTGTTTTTCCTGATGCTCTCCCTCCCTTGACTTCCCCACTGCTGACAGGCCCCAGTGTGTGTTGTTCCCTCTGAATGCATCCATGTGTTCTCATTGGTCAGCTCCCACGTATGAGTGGGAACATGCAGTGTTTGGTTATCTCTTCTTGTGTTAGTTTGACGAGGATGATGGCTTCTAGCTGCATCCATGTCCCTGCAAAAGACATGATCTCATTCTTTTCTATGGCTGCATAGTATTCCACAGTGTATATTACCACATGTTCTTTATCTGGCTTATCATTGATTGGCATTTAGGTTGATTCCGTGCCTTTGCTATTGTTAATAGTGCTGCAATGAATATGCACGTGCATGTATCTTTGTCATAGAATGACTAAATCCCACTTTCTAATTGTATGACCTTGGACGAGTGAGTTATTCCTGCTGTGCCTTAGCTTCCTCTTCTGTAAAAGGGGGATAGTCATCGTTGCCACCTTATGAATTTGAAGGATTAAATGAGTGAATATGTGTCCAGGGCTTAGAAGAGCCCTCAGTAAATATTAACGCTCATTATCATCACCAGTCTCTCTGGTTTGTCCCTCATGGACATGAGTGTGTCTGTTCCCCACCATGGCATTCCCTGACTACTTCTTTTTTTTTTCTTTTGAGACAGAGTCTTGCTCTGTCGCCCAGGCTGGATGGAGTACAGTGATGTGATCTCGGCTCACTGTAACCTCCACCTCCTGGGTTCAGGCAATTCTCCTGTCTCAGCCTCCTGAGTAGCTGGGACTATAGGCACCCACCATTACACCTGACTAATTTTTTGTATTTTTAGTAGAGACAGGGTTTCACTGTGTTAGCCAGGATGGTCTCGATCTCCTGACCTTGTGATCTGCCTGCCTTGGCCTCCCAAAGTGCTGGGATTACAGGCGTGAGCCACCATGTCTGGCCCAACATTCCCTGTCTTCTGTTCATCTTGATACTTGGCTTATAGTATCTGTAATCGTGCGTGTCACATGCGGCAGGGATTGCATTCCAAGCACTGTGCTGGCTGCTGAGAATGCAGAGAGAAATCCAGAAATAAAATTAACTAAAATGTCCTGGGTAAAGACCTTGGGCAAGAGAACAGGTCTGTCCCATGTCATCATTTTGGGTCTCCATTTCCTTTTTTTGTAAGATGACAGAATAGGATACATGAACACCCACCCCTGAAAGCTGCTTACGCCCAGCTTCTCTATCAGCTGCAGATCGAGGTGGGCACAGGGTGGCTGAGGAGGAGCTGCTGTCCTTTTTTGGCCATTGGAATCCTCGGTAGCCCTGGGCCTGGCCTTGTACCGTGGACATAAAAGGCATTGAGCTGGGCTTCTGAACAGCCCAGGGTGGGAGGGTGTCTGGGAAGAGCAACTGCAGTGCAAGGTGAATCCCAGAGGTGAGGTTCTGCAGAAGATATGGCCTGGAGGGGCCCAGGTGGACAGAGTTAGGGTTCTAGGGACCTTGAGCCTGGGGTAGCTGGGGAAGGGGGAGTGTGGGAGAAGCACCCAGGCCTCCCATTTGCAAGTGGGGCTTTGAAGTCAGACCTAGCCTGGGGACAGACTCAGCCTTTGTCTCTTCCCTGCCAGGGAAGGCCAGCCTAGGGTGGGACTTGGCTTCTCTGAAACTTCGTTCTTCCCTGGAACAAATGGGTGCTATGAGGACTAAAGGAGTTGGTGCACACAGTGGGCCTAGCTCAGTGTCTGCATATAGTAGGTGAGCAGCAAAAGCCCATTCCTTTCCCTCTTGGAGGCACTTTTTAGTTCAGAATGCAGTGATTTCTGGTGGAGGGTGACCAAGTCAGGATTTGGAACATCTGAGCTCTGATGAAGAAAAGAACCGAGCGGGAGTTAATTAAAGCTGCCCAAACCCTTTCACATGTGTCATGGCTATTATCCCCCTGGCTTCTCGCCTGGAGACCTGGAAAGCTGGCGTGTGTTTGTGTGTGTACGAGCATGTGTATGGGCGTGTGTGTGGGCAGGTGTGTGTTGAGCACGTGTGTGGTCCCCAGTTTAAAGGTGAGGAAGCTGGGACTTGGGAAGGTGCTATGACTTGCCTGAGGTCCTGCTGTGAGTCTGGCAGGTCCAGGACTTTACTCCAGAACTTCGGACTCTGGGTCCAGCTGAGGCAGGGAGGGGAGAGGGCCCAAGATGGGATAGGGATGGGGACAAGAATTTGAAGCTCTTAGAAGGTGACACAGGGTAGACCAACTTTCTCTTTCCTGAGTCATATGATCTTGTTTGGACAAAGGAGAGGAGCATAACCAGGAGCACCCCATGAGAGACGCGGCTGGTGAACCTGTGAGCCCTTTTCCTGAGCCCTGTGCTCTTAGCAGCCAGGATCAGGGCGACAGGGACTGTCCCCTATGCTAGGCACAAAGAGTGCTTGCCTCTGACTAGGGACTCATTGCTTGTCAGTTTCTCCTCAAGTTACTGCCTATTCTAACTCAGCAGGAGCCAGGGCACCCCAGAACACAGATCTAGGGGTCACCAGTCAGGGTTCTAATCTTAGCTCTGCCAATGCTTCATCTTGAGGCCTTAGACAGTCCCTTTCCTTCTCCTGGCCTCAGTTTCCCCAAATATATTATGGGAATAATAATGCTTCCCTTGCCCCACTAGATTGTGGGAATCTAGTGAGGTGAGGGTTGGTACCAGCTATGAAGTGGCTGTTCGTGCACTGAACCTCAGGTAGTTAGAGACCAATGAGATGGAGATCGACGTTCTGGAAAATCAAAAAGCATTGGCATGCCTCTTGGACATACCTCTCAGAAACTCCTGAGAGCCCAGGGGAACAAGCCAGGAGATGGTCCTGGCCACGTGCACCGGCAGAGACGGGTCCCCTGGAGGATGGGCCCAGAGCTCTAAAAGTAGGATGTGGAGGATGCGTTCTAGCTGTGAACCGAAGCATGTTTGTGGTGTGGCTAATGATGTTTGGAGCATGGGTTTCTAGGTGAGGGTGACTGCCTGAGCAGGAGCCTGGTGGCAGGACAGTGCGGGACGTGGCTGGGGAGTGGGCTGTGGTTTGAGGGTAGAGCAGAGGGACCCTGCCTGTGGGTTTGCCTGTTGTAAAGAAAGCATAGTGTAGACAGGGTGCTCGGACGTGTTGGATTACAGAAGACTTGGGATAGCAGAAGGAGGAATTTGGACTTTGTCACCATGCAGTCAGCGGGGCGCTGTGGAAGGTGTTAGAGGAGGGGAGTGGTGAAATTGGAGAAGACCCTCTGGAGGGGTGTGAGTGGGAGGATGGATAGGAAGGCATTTAAGCAAGGGAGCAAGGCTTTGAGCAGAGTTTGTGGGGAGACAGGCATCCTCTCTAGATGACTTGGTGGCCAAGAGGAATTGTTTTTCTTTCAGGGACAGAAAGGGGACCCAGGGCTCTCACCAGGAAAGGCCCATGATGGGGCAAAGGTAGGTTTCCAGGGACCCCAGTCCCCAGGGAAGAGGGGAGTGGGCAATAGTGAAATCGCCACACTCTGCAGCGAGCTGTCCTGGCTGAGGCCAAGCATGGCAAAGGCAGGGGGGTGGGAACATCTGGAAGGGTCAGGGTGTGGTTTGGTTTTGTTCCTTGAAGTCCTTCAGCCTCTCCCAGCAGCAAAGCCACCCAAGGTTATTTCCAGCACCTCCTTTCCAGGGTACAGCCAACAAAACTGACAAAAGATTTTGCCTATGGACACACCCTTGGTGAATGTTCTTTTGCCTAATGTCCTGCATGGCTTTCTGCAAGGCCTGCTAGGTGACCCTGGGCATCCAGAAGTTTCTTGGTAGCACATGGCCAGGAAGCTTCCAGCAGACACTCAAAGCCTCCCCTGAGGTTAACTGCAGCAGACAGGTCTGTGGATTTCTAGGAGGCTAGAGATTCAGGGCTCCTAACTCTGAAAGGCTGTGAAACCAGGTTTGCCTGCAGAAGGGAAAACACTTTGGCCAAAGGCCTTCATCCGTCTCTGAAGGATCTACCCCGTAAACTGAGCAAGGGGCTTGGAGAGAGTGCTGGACAGATGGGAAGAGGGGAGCCCAGAACTCCAAGTGAGATTGTCCAGTGTGTCAATCTTCCAGCCATACACACCCTGGAAGCAAAGCCCAGGTCTGCCTGGCTTCCTTCCGGACACAGCCCCAGAGCCATCCTGATGGACTGAACACTGCTTCTCAGCCAGCCTCCTGTGCTTAGGCACCAAGAACTGGCTGCTTTCTTTGATTTCCCCAAGACACGGGTGGCTTATTGCTTCACATCCTCACTGCTAGGTGTTTTCTCTTAGCCCATATTTACTGGGTGACTCCGGGTCCCAGGAGAGTGTTCCCATACACTACCATTTGATCCTCATCATAACCTCATGAGCCAGGACAGATGGGCCCAGCTTGTAGATGGGAAAACGGAGGCTCCAGGCAGGGGTGGCTTGCTGGCGGTCAGGCAGCTGGTAAGTGGCAAAATGGGATTGGCACCCAGGAGCCCAGGCTTCTCTCCTGCTGCGGTGTGGCCTGCTCTCAGGTCCTGGGGTGGTGGCAGAAATGCCCCCTGCTTGGCCAGTGGCAGGCCCAGCAATGGGAAGGTGTCCCAGGACTGCGGGGAGAGCTGGCTGATTGGTATGGGACTGGTAAGCCACATGTCTTCTGGAGCACAGTTTTTAAACCTGGTTTTAGTATCAGAACCCATTCTTCAAGTGGTGTCTGCTGCTGAAGGCCAATATATAAAATAGATCAGATGGAGCTGCTGAGTTGAGTGGGGAGGGGTTCCGGGTACAGCACCCGCTCTTCTGCTCTCACTTTGCTGAGAAGCCCCCAAGTCTCCTCTGAGCCTCTAGTTCTCTGTGAATCTCATTTGGAAACAAGCAGCCATTGGCAGTTACAATTCCAGTTTGTAGACTGTAGCAGAGTGTCTCTACTCCGTTTTCCTGCCTCACCTCCCCTGTCCATGTCTTACAGGGCGACATGGGCTTGCCCGGGCTCTCTGGGAATCCAGGACCTCCAGGACGAAAGGTACTGTTTGGTTTGGATGCTATGCCTTGCGCTGTGGGCCTCCTAGCAAGCCAGGTCTTCAGGCAGGAGAGCGGTGGGCCCACCTGCCTCTCCCCAGCCCCAGCCCAGCTCCCCCGGGGACAGGGCGCATGGGTGGGAAGTGAGAGAGCTTTCCAAGGGCTGTGCCTGTTGGGGATGGGGAATACCCCGGCTTGCAGTGGGTGCCTCTTGGCACGGTTAATGAGGTAGCTTGTTAAGAAGTGTCATTGGTTTGCTGTGCTTCCTTTTGGGGACCCAGCTGCTCCCAGGGAGGCCACCTTCAAGAAAACTTGTGGTGGTGGTGTACCCTGTGCCAGCCCCTGCTCCGCCGCCCCCTGGCTGAGTGGCCTTGGGCCTGTGAGTCCCATCTCTGCCCCTTGGCCTCCTCCTACATGAGATGGAAACAGTGATCACCGTCTCTGACCCTGCACAGTCTGGGGCTGTGTGACCAGGAGCAAGGCCTGGAGCAGAGAAATGGAGGGAGTGGACCCTGGAGTCAGCTGGACCTGGGTCCTACTCCCCCTTCTGCCATTTCCTGGTTGGGTGACCTGGGGCAAATTAGCCAGCGCTGGGTTTAATATTCAGCTCTCGTTAGTGCCCTGCAGGGGAAGGGGAGTGCTCTGGAGAGGCCTGGGTTCTCTGTGCCTTCCTGGCTGTTGCTACGTCTCCCCCATCCCATCCTTGCTTCAGCCATGCTCTGGGAGTTACCTGTCCGAGCACCCATGCGGGGAAAAGGCTGCCATTTCCTAGTAGGGGGTCTCTAGCTTCCAGTGCCCCTGGATTTCTCTGACTCCTCCAGCCTGTGTCTCCCGTCCTTCAAGACTCTATTCTAGTTGTGCCTACTCCAGGGAGCGCTCCTGGAGCACCCAGCTTCAGGCCATGAGGCTCCTCTCTGCTCAAGGACACTTAAACTGTCCTGGCTTAGTTATTCTAGCCACCAGTCATGCCTCACCACCCAGGGTGTGCAAATCTGGTCTGCTGCTCTCCCTACTGAGCCTTACATGAAGCCCTTGCATTGCAGGTATTCAGGAAATAGGGGGCAGGCAATGCAGGCTAAGGGTCAACTGCCTTTTCCAAGAAAATCCCCTGCTGCTGATGGGTTGTCTGGTAGATCCATCAGCCTACCACTGTGTCTTAAGTTTCTTCCTTGGCTCCCAGCTGTGGCCACAGCTGTCCTCTCTCTAGGCCATCTGGCTCTCATCTGGACAGCTGGGGTATCTCTCAGCTCCATCCTGTTCTTGCTTTGAGAGCCCCATGACACAGGAGGCCTGGAAGGGCCTTGTTCCCCCATTCCCTCCCGCACCTTCCATGGGCAGAGCAGGCCGTACCTTCACTCTGAGAGGCCCGCCCTGGAGGCAGTGGCTGTGAACCAGGAGACATGGTCTTTTCCGGCTCAAAGAACACAGAAGGACTGGCTCTCCCCACTTGCTTCCCCTCTGGGCTCTAGCGATTTCTGATGGATGAGGTGCCAGTGGAAAAGGCTCCGTCCGGCCCCAGCTCATAAAGCGGCCTGTGGTGGTCTTGTCCTGCATGGGGGTGGCGGCCCAGCAGAGGTGGCAGGAGGTGGGGAAACCAGACTGGAACCAGCTCCTGCCTAGGGTTCCAAGGCTCCTCGCATTGAGCAGGTGTCCAGAAGAACCCCCAATCAAGAGGAGCCAGCTCACCTGAGCAGGGAGAGGCAGCTTCTCTAAGTTAAGCAAGAGGCTCTGTGCAGCTGGATGACTATTTGGCAAAGCCATTTGCTCCGAGTCCCCTCTGGCCCTGGCCTAGACATGCACAGAAGAGTTTGGTCTGCGGCAGGCTGGCGTCACCCACTTACAGAGGTTGCTGGGTGAAGCGTCGGGGAGCTCAGGTCCCGAGGCAGAGACCCCTGACCAGTGGTGGGGAGCAGAGAAGAGAACCACTGCACTGCCATGGGCAATGTGCCTGAGGCCACCACGGTAGGCAGTCTCTCCTGTCACACACAGTCTTTGGTGACAACAGCAGCCACTTGGCTCTGATCCTGTAGCGTAGCTTTTCTGCATTATTTTTTGTGAGAAGCCTTGTGGGGAGAAGGGAGGTGAGTGGATAAGACTTAAAGTCAGGCCGGGTGTGGTGGCTCACGCCTATAATCCCAGCACTTTGGGAAGCCAAGGTGGGTGGATCACGAGGTCAGGAGATTGAGGCCATCCTGGCTAACACAGTGAAACCCCATCTCTACTAAATATACAAAAAATTAGTCAGGCGTGGTGGCACGTGCCTGTAATCCCAGCTACTTGGGAGGCTGAGGCAGGAAAATCACTTGAACCCGAGAGGCAGAGGATATAGTGAACTGAGATCATGCCACTGATCTCTAGCCTGGACAACAGAGTGAGATTCCATCTCACCAAAAAAAAAAAAAAAAAATAAAAAAAAAAAAAAAAAAAAAGAGATAAAGTCAGTTTCCTCTTCGTGCTCACCAGCACATTGAATTTTTGTCTCATTCTGAAGCAACACTGATAATCCTATTTATTCATTTGTTTAACAAGAATTAGTGAATCCCTAGAATGTGCCCGCCACTGAGCTGAATGGACAAAAATCCCTGCCCTGGATCCTTATGGGGGTGGGGGTGGGGAGACAGGAGACAAAAACAAAAACGGTAAAAATAAAAGGTATGCTGTAAGACAGAACGGGCTGTGGAGAAAAATCAGCAAGAGAAAGGGAGTTTTGGTTGGAGGGTGCAGTCTACGGCAGTGGCTTCCAGCTGGGGATCTGGGACCCCATCGTGGTGATTCTGGCTCAGTTGGTCTGAGTGGGACTCAGGCCTCAGTAGCTCTAAAAGGCCTCCAGGTGATTCCACGTGCAGCCAAGAGTGAGAGGCACCAACGTTTTGGAAATACCTTCCATGGGTCTCTAAGCTGCAGGGCTGGGATTTGAACCCAGATCTTCTGACCCTCAGGCCCTTTCTGGGTCACCACAGGGCTGATTCAGTTTCTCAAACAAGAGAGTTTCCATCCAGTAAAAAAGAGGCTGCGTGCCTCAGAAGGTTTGTTTCTCTGCCACTGCCTGAGATGCAGGTGGAAGGACTTTGCTGGGCCAGTTCCTAAGGTGGGGAAGACCCGCAAACCAGGTCACATAGACCTGGATGGAATCCGTGCTATGCCCCTCTCCTGCTGTGTGAGTGTGGGCAAGTCAACTCACCTTGCTGGGCCTCAGCTGAGTCATGAGGTGGTTGGGAGGATTAAATGAGATGTAATATCCCCAGCACGCAGCATCGGGCTGGCGCATGGCAGGCACTTTGCATGTGTTTGTGGAATGAATGAATGAATGATCATGAAGAGAAGCATCTGAAGAAGGATTTGTGCTTCCATCTGCTAGCACCAGTCACTGCTAGTTTCCAGTTAACCGCCCTCCGGTAGCCAAGAAGGCTGCCAGAACCCCATTTGCACCTCCCATGCTCCCTCTCATCCAACCCTCCTGCCTTCTTCCCTGTAGACCAGTAGTTCTCAACCAGGGGTGGCTTTGCCCCCCAGGGAGGAGTTGGCAATGTCTGGAGATATTTTTGGCCATTACAACTGGGAGGGAGGTGCTACTAACTTCTAATGAGTAGAAGCCAGAGATACTGCTAAAGCTCCTGCAATGCACGAGATCGCCCCTCCCTCCCATACACATACACAAGATGTGTCCAGCCCAGCGTGTCAAGGCTGAGAAACCCTGGACCCATCCAATCCCATGTGCCCTGGGCCTTCCTGCCTCCCTGCCCCCTGCTGTGTAGAAACCCTGGCCCCATCCAATCCCGTGTGCCCTGGGCCTTCCTGCTTTCCTGTGTTTGCTTCTGCTGTGCCTCACCAGGCCTCTCCTCCACACTCATCCTCATATGCCTGCCCCTTGGCTCTGTTCTCAGAGAAGAATAGCATCTTCTCCAAGGGTACTCCCCAGCACCTCCAGGCAGAGGTCATGCCTCCCTTCTCTGACCATTTGGCCTCCCTTCTCAGTCTCCCTGGGCTAGTGGGCAACCCACTAGTGTCGACACATTGCTTAGATTGGACAGAGGACAGAACCCAACCCATCTTTCCTTCCCCATGGGGGCTTAACACAGTGCTGGCCACATTCAACTCCCTCCCTCCCTCCCTCGTCACCTCTGGCAAGCGTCACAGATGGATCTTTCCGGCCATGCCCTGACACAGCCCCCGAATCTCTCTTACCGTACTGCCCCAGATAGACCTCACACACGGGACAAAACTGGCACTCAGGCTGAAACCTGACTTGCTTCTCTCCAGCCTGACTTCCCCCCGGCTCCCTCCTGTTGCCCCCACCCTTCCCCCTAGCAGAAATGCTGCCCGCATTGGCTATTATCTGTGGGAAGCTGTCATAAAATGGGAGAGCACAGGGGTCATCTGGAAGCATTTCTGGGGAAATGTGATTGAGGTTGCCTTAGACAATCCCCTGCCCTTCTGCAGAACTCCCAGTTCTGCCTGAGTGTGGCACCCCTAATTCCGTAGAGGTCCTCCTGAGAAACGTCTCCAGGCCCCCCTGCTTCTGCAGCCCATTCCCACTACCCCATCCCGTGTCTCCTGTCCAAGCCCCACCCCTCCCCCAGGCCTCAGTTTACAATGCCGTCTCCTCTGGCTTAATCTACATTCTTCCAGCACTTGCTGCCTCTCCTTCATTCTATGCATTTAATGCCCTCTTCTAGAAGGTAGAGAATTTTTCTGTTCATCAATGTGTCTCTAGTACCTAACACAGGGTCTTGGTAATTGCTGGGTCTCAGTAAACATTTGCTGGATGAATGAATAACTGGACGAATGAATGATCCATACAGAAAATACACCTTCCTGCCCAGAGCAATCTCACGTATCCACAGAACAGAGTTTGGTGTCAGACACCTGGCCTGTGCCATGATGGACTGTGCTTTTAGGCAAGCCACAGATTTCAGAATCCTGCCTTTTCTGAGCCCACAGGACACTTGGAGAGGCCAGCTGGAGAAACTGAGGCCCAGAGAGGCGCCTTGTCCAGCATCCCATAATAAGACCCTCTACTCCAGGCATGTGTTTCTCACTCTTTGATTCTTTCTGTCCCGCTGATGGCTCAGTCTGCAGTGTGGGCTGCCCAGGTGGTAGGGAAGTCCAGCAGAGAGATTCGTGGAGAGCTAAGCAAGGTGGGTGAGTTTCATCTCAATAACTGTAAGGCGAGCTGAGGCCTCGCACAGGCCGAGGTGGAACCTGGGTGGACAGCCGATGTCTGAGTACATAGTGGTCCCTAGGACCCCCGGGCAAGGACCAGGACCCCTCCCCTCCCTGCCTAAAGCCCAAAAAGCAGCCCAGCCAGACGGGGAGACGGTCTGTAGCAACAGTGAGGTGATGTCTGGTTTCTCCTTGCGCATTGTAAGCAATGATTAATCTGGCTCCCAAACCAAAATATAGACCAAGTTCTATTATAAACATAGGTCCTGTGGAGACCCGCCTGCTGGGCAGCCAGAGGCCCCTTGCAGACAGCACGGTCCCTGGAGCTCCCCGAAACATTCCCTCTCCCTTAGTGCCAGTCAGGCATCATAAACTGGGAAATCACTGTCCATGGGTCCACCTTGCGGTCGGCATCCGCCCCGTAATTGCCGGGGCACTGCAGAAGATAATGGTTTAGATTCTTACAGGTCTGGGGCCCTGTCATTTGGAGCTATTTGCTGGCCCCAGCTTGGTAAACATTGTTAAGATGCTTCCAGGGAATGTAAGCACCTCCCGCCTCCTACCCCCAACCTGGGCTATGCTCTCTGCTGCTCCTGGCCATCCAGGAGAAACTGGGGTGTTCATGCCAATGTTCAAGGCCCTTCAGGGTCCCTTGATCAAGAGAGACCTAGAAATTGTATACCCCAGTGGGTCTGGAGTCCCAGGGAAAAATGCTGGCTTGGCCATAACTTGCCGGGTAACTTTAGACAAGTCCCTTCCCCTCTCTGAGCTTTAGTTTCTCAGTCCATCCAATGAGAAAGGAGGTTGTCAAACTAATGGTTTAGGTCCCTTTTAATGCAGATACTCCAGGGTTTCATGACTGACCTCCGCCTGAATAACGCTGCAATGACGTGAGAGCTTTCGTCCCAGTGAGGTGGGGGATCTCTCCTTGAGTGGCTTTGTGGCTCTTCCAGGGAGGCCTTGGGCCTCAATGAGCATGTCTCATCCCATGTTTTTTGATGGCTAAGGATATGGGATTGAGTCACAGGCCTGGCGCTGCCCCTAGAAGGCTGTGTGGGCTCAGCAAAGTCTCTTTACCTCTCTGAACATTAGTTTCCTCAACTGGCAAATGTGTATGGTAATTCCTGCCTCCCGGGGGAGATTGCAAGGAGTCCATGAACTGTTATGTGAAGGCTTCGGTGCTGAGCCAGGCAGAGGGCTGTCCACCGTGCATGCCGGATGATCACTCACTTCCTTTTAGCTGCACCCTGACTAAAAGGGTTTACTTGAAATCTCCTTGGATTTCACTGGAGAAATGCCTCTGCTTCCTTTGTAGGGAGGTGTGGGAGCTGAAGAATTGGTTTTCAGCAGGGTTCTTGTGGCTGCAGATGAAGCCACGGGAGCTGGTGATGGCCAAGGGCCCCCTGGACTCTACATTGTAGTTATCTTGGAGGGTCCTTGCCCTGTTACTCCATTGGATCTTTGCAGGCAGGCAGAGGATGGCAGAGTGAGCTTCAGAGAGGATAATTACCCATACGGAGTCACACAGCCCAGAGTGCAAGGCTCCGTACAGCTCTTCACTAGGAAAAGGCTTCGCTTGTTCTTCCTCATCTGCAAGCTCCAGGTGGAAAAATGATGATCACGGCTGTTAGTTCCTTTATGTCACGCTACCTCCCTACTCAAAGCACTTCTGTGGTTTTGCATCTATCAACTCCAGCGCGTCCTGACCTCCTGCTTCTCCGACCACCCCATCCTTCACCCTCTTGCTCGTTCTATTCCAGCCATGCAGGCCTGGCTGTGTTCCCTCCAAGCCAGTCAATTGCGTTCTTGCCTCAGGGCCTTTGCACTTGCTGTCTCCTTGGCCTGCAATGCCCTCCTCCGGGGAGCCCGCCCTGTGTTAATCCCATTCCTCTCCTCAGAGCAGCCCTCCTGGATCCCACCCCCTATTCTCCACCCCTCCCCAGCGTGGCCATTCTCTGTCTATAACTTTACTTCCTTTTCTTCACAGCACTGCTCACTGCTAGACATTATCTCTCTGTTTTTGAAAAGATGTTATTTTAATTGTGGTTAAAAAGCATATAACATAAAATTACCATCTTAACCATTTTTGAGTTTACAGTTTAATAGCATTAGGTGCATTCACATTGTTGTACAACCAATCTCCAGAAATGTTTCATCTTGCAAAACTGAAACTGCAACCATCAAACAACTCCCCATCCCTCTCTCCTTTCGGCCCAGATGTGATTTTTATGTGTACTCTGTTTTCAGACCTCCTTAATTAGAATGTAAACTCCTTTAGGGCAAAAGACGTTGTCTGTCTCATTCTTCCTGTGCCTAGAAGGGCGCTGGAGCATGAAAACTCAGTAAATGTTTATCAAATGAATGAATGAAAAATGAAGATTATGATAACAGCAGCTAACCTTTACAGGGCCCTTGAATCCAGTGCCAAATACAGTGCTAAGCACTTTGCACGCTTTCTATCCTGCAATCCCTGCTCCAACTTTGTATATCCATTTTATAATTGAGGAAGACGAGATTCTCAGAGGTGACGTCATTGGCTCTGGGCCACCCAGCCAACCAGTGAGTAGGACAGCACTGGAATCCAGATGGGTCTGAAACAAGAGGTTGTATCACTCTGCCAGCAAGCTGCTGGCTGCGGCCTATGCCCCGTGTGCCCTCTGGGGAAAAGAGCACACACCCCAGCTAGAAGCACCTCACCCAGCCTTCTTGCATCAATCTCCATAGGCCCCTGGATCTGAGATAGAATCATGTCACTGAGGGTCTTGAGACATGAATAGGTGCAAAAGGAATGCTCGTAAACCCTCCAGACCTCTTAGATCACACTGACTCTGCTGTTTATAATTAAGAGTCCCCACTTCCTGGGGGCTGATGGGGGTTGCTGAGTGTGTGTGCCTGTGTGTGTTTGTGTATGTGCATGGAGCTGTACACGCCTGGGGATGTTTGCAGAGTTCCCATTTTGGCCTCAGATGCCAGAAGGATCTGGTAGCGAGTGGGTGCCTGTGGCTTGTTAGCAATGGGACTCAGGGCAAGTGTCTTCCGTTGGGTGAGACTCAGTGTTCTCTTCTGTGAAATGGAGATGATAGTCACCCCCTCTAGCTCGTCTGACTGTTGTAAGGTGTAGATAAAGTCATCTGTTGCCCATGTAGTCCTGGGTAAACGGCAGCGCATAGAGAGGGTCTGCAGGTATGAGCGGGCTCGCACACGTGTGTGCATGCTAAAGTCTTAACATGTATCTCGAGTCTTGTGTGTATATGTTAGACTCTGGAGAAGTCTTCAGACTCGGAGGTTCTAAAACATCAGAGCTGAAGGGGACTCAGAGTTCTAATTCCGTTATCTGAAGTTCAGAGAAGGGTAGTGACTCACCCAAAGATGCACAGTAAGTTAGAGACAGCATCTAAACCAGCACCGAAACTAATCCCTGTGTACAATGGAAGCCCCCCAGCTGATGGAAGCTGGAAGTCTGGGGTTTCCTTTGGAGACCTCCTTACTTTTATGAAATGGCTCAGGTGCTGCCTGAAAGTACACACTGGGCTTGGTTCTTTCAACCTAGAGGCCTGGCCTGGCCATCAGGACAGAGGGTCAAGGCTGGTACTAGGGTGTTGCCAGAGTCTTTCTCATCACTATCTGGGTGGCCTATTCTTCCCTGGAATAGGAGCTGGGGGCAGTGGAAGAAGGGAAACAGCTCTTTGGGTTAATGTATGTGGTCAAGGCGTATGATGGGGGGTTTATGAGAAGGGGCAGGTCCTGAGAGGGGAGGGATCCCAGCATCGCGTGGTGGCTCAGCACATTCTAGACCTCGAGTCCGATTGAGTCCACTCCTCCATTGGCAAAGCCTATCCCTGAGAGACGGTCTCTCCTTCTCTCTCTATTCAGAAGGAATGGCTGCAATACGCCATTTCTTGGTCATAGTTGTTCTGTCCCAGTTCCGTCCACCAACTCTGTTAAGGCAGTGAATGACCCCCATGATGTCCTCTGGCCTAAGAACCACGAGGAGCAGAGAGAAACCCTTAGGAATCTGCGAAGCCTCACATGGTGTCTGCATCTGTCTGGGGAACGTTTGCTGAGTGCACACGCCATCCCCAACGCAGTACTAGGGTGCTGAACAGGGCAGGCTAGGCAGTTGGACCCTTGTGATTTCCAGGCCCAGAGGTGTCCTCCCTGCCTGATGCAGCTTCTTCCCCCCACAGGGACACAAGGGCTATCCTGGACCGGCAGGGCATCCTGGAGAACAGGTGAGGGCCTCGGCCTCAGCCCTGCCCTGCCCGCTGTCCCTCCCAGCCCTACCTGTCTCTGGCCCCTTCCCTAGATCCAGCGCTGTGCGTCAGCCCCAGAGCCAGGCTGTTCTGCCTCTCACCCTGCTGGGGCCCCCATCCCACTCCAGCCCACCCCACCTCTCTCACCCAGCCACATTTGCCTGAAAGAGCCAGAGTCCATGCCGGCCTGATGTTGGCATGAACCGTGCAACTCTGGTTGGAGCCGTGAATGGCTGGCCTGTTCCGGGCGATGTTAGGGGATATTATACATGCCGCCACGGGGTTTGCAGGAATTTGGGCTGGTCTGGCCCAAGTCAAACAGCAGCCTTGCCAGCATGGGAGAACCAGCCAGGCCTCCTCAGTGATTTCTTATTCCTGGGCTGCAAGCAGAGGGGGTTTTGTCCCTCAGAGCTGGTCGGACCGGTTTCACAGAGGGGTGGGCTTGGGGGCCCTCCCCTTCCTCCCCTTCCATCTCACATTCCTGCCCCTCTCTGTTCATTGTCAGCCCCGGGCCCCCACCATCCCCCAGACCCAGGGCAGGGTCTTTCCTTTCCTTATGTTTCTCTCTGTTATTTTGCAGGGGCAGCCAGGACCTGAGGGCAGCCCAGGGGCCAAAGGTTACCCTGGCAGGCAGGTGCAGTATATGGCTTCTGGAAGCTTCTGTGGCCATGCTGATATGGAGATGGCCACAGGTGCCCCGAGGCAGAGGGAGGCGATGGGCTAGGGGCCAAGGAGCTGCATATGCTGGGTCGACCCTAAGAAGGGGGCTGTCCAGGGCGCTGGACCAAGGAAGCCTCTCTTTGCAGGCACAGGACAAGGCTGCATAGTGGTCTGGTTCTATGGCACTGGGGCTCCAGAGGCTCCTCCCATGTAGTTTCCCTCCTACCCACCAGCTACCTCCCTGGGATCCTGGGGCTGTAGGGTTCAGGCCAAAGACTGTTGATCTAACCCCACCCCATTCTACAAAGAGAGCAGCAGAGGCCCCAAAGAGGCGGGACGTGCCCCAAGATTGGCAGCAGGTGGAGCGTCTCCATATGTCCTTGCCCCTCTGTGTTTTGTGTTTCAGGGGTTACCTGGACCGGTAGGAGATCCCGGCCCCAAAGGCAGCAGGGTAAGTGGTTCCCGGCCGGTGCCACACGGGTGGGGTTCTAGGTGAGCATCACCTGTCTCCAGTGGACTTGGTGGGAGGTCAGAGCTGTAAGGAGAGCCAAGGTCCTCCCACCTGAGCGCTCCTGGAGAACAGAGGGGCAGCAGGAGGGCTGGGTGATGGGAGACCCTTGAGCCAGGTAAGCCGGCTCGGTTCCCATGGCCTAGAAGTCTGGGCATGGCTCTGCTGGGGGTTTGGCCACAGTCCAGCTCGTGCTTGCTGCGTCTCCTGGCTCATCCCAAGTTCTAAGGGAGCCAGTTGGGGCTACTTGAATTGCTTGTCATCGAATCTTCAGAGGCCTCCCTCCTGCTCCCATCTGAGGGCTGGCTGAGGGGAACCACTGTTTTTGGAGGGTGCCTGCTGTGTGAATGCTGCCCAAGCCCGCAACCTGGTGGAGCTTCCAGATCCCCCTTTCCTTCAAGACCCCCATGGAGCAGAGCCTGAGTAACTATCAGCCTCAGTTTGCTTACCTTACAATGGGCATGATGTCCATTTGTACCTCTAGCTTGGGTATGCGGACACCAGTGACTTGACAGCTCAGGAGGGGGCTACCCGATGGGGCTCCCATGGGGGTTGTGGGGAGATGGAGAAGGGTCTGGGTGGACGAATGGGGGTCAATGGAGTTGGGAAGACGAAGAGCTGATGTGGTGGAATCCTCTCTTCTACGTACAAAGAACCTGGGTTCAAGGCGAGGTTATTTTCTCTGGATAGCCCCGGCTTACACTGCATGCCTCAGGTGGGTCTGGGATGAGGACCCAGGTGTTCTGAGGCCTGGACTTGCTGCTTCTCAAAGAATACTCAGCAAGAAGGTCACACAGTCCTCAGTCAGGACAGGTCATGTAGCCTTTGCTCCTGAGCCAAAGCTATTTCCATTTTGGCAGGAGGGAGAGGACAGAATGGCTGCAGTCTCAGCCTTAATCCCTGCAGCAGACTGGTGGCTGGTGGGAGAGGGGGCGGGTAGGTGCATTCCCCAGGAGGTGACTGTGACAGGCAGGGCCTGCAGAGGCTCCTCCCTGGATGCCGGGTCTCTCTTCCTTCATTCTGCTGCTCCCATGGGCTGTGGCCCCAGAGAGGCCCCCTAAGCCCAGGGAGAAAGGTCTTCTCAGCCCAGCTCCCATCCTGATCTCCTGACCTGCCAGGACAGGGCATGTTAATAACATCTGCGGTTGCTTGACTTGCCTGCCAGGCTGGTGGTATCTCAAAGCCACAGAGGAGGAGAGGACAGGTCTGGCCCCAGCACTCCTGTTTCTTAAAGACCACACAGGCCTGGGCACCCTGGATGAGCAGTGGGTCACTCAAGCTGTCCTTCCAACCCTGCCACCACCAGGCTTATATTTATGAAGTAGGCAGAGGGCAGGCTTTGGAATCTGGATGACCGGCTTTGAGACCTGCCCTGCCACTGGCTGGCTGTGGGACCATGGGCAAGTCACTGGGCCTCCCTGAGCCAATTATTTTCTCGCCTGTAAATGTGGGAGATAAGCCCTATTTGGAAGGGTCAGTAAATGGCACTCTTTCAGATTATGGATATTAATCATGCTGGATGCCAGCAAGGAGGCTCAGTGGCCTCTTGGCCTTCCAGGGAAGGAGAGATGGTTGTGAGCCTCCATTGGTTGCTTGTTTGAGGGGAGGCAGAATGCAGAGTGGGTACAAACCCAAGCCAGGAGTGAGGCTTGAATTTGAATACCAGCTCTACCACATTCCAGCTGTGTGGCCCTAGGCCAGTCACTTCACCTCTCTGGGCCTAAATGGTCTCACTTTACAGGAGGCTGGGTAATAATACTTCCTCGGGCCAGGCACAGTGGCTCAGGTCTGTAATCCCAGCACTTTGGGAGGCCTAGGCGGGCAGATCACCTGAGGCCAGGAGTTCGGGACCAGCTTGATCAACATGGCGAAACCCTGTCTCTACCAAAGTAAATACAAAAATTAGCTGGGCGTGGTGGCACATGCCTGTAATCAGCTATTTGGGAGGCTGAGGCAGGAGAATCGCTTGAACCTGGGAAGCGGAGATTGCAATAGGCCAAGATCGTACCACTGTACTCCAGCCAGGGTGACAGAGCAAGGCTCTTTCTATAAAATATATTTAAAAAATACTTCCTTGGGGTGTGGTAAGGATGGAATGAATGCTTTAATGCAAGCAAAGCACTGATAGCAGGCCTGGCATATCGCTGGCACTCAATAAACATCAGCTTTTGTTAGAGTTCTTGTTACATCAATCCACAGAGTGGCATGCGGTTAGTGGTAGAAGCCCCGGGCTGGGTCACTGCCCTTAAGAAGTTTCCAGGCTAATGAGAACATGAAGCGTGAACACAAATAAATGAAGATACAAGGGAGAAAGTGGAGAAGGTTGCTACTGAGGTGTAAAAATGGCATTCCGGCTGGGGGTGTCAGGGATGCTTGCCCAAGGAGAGCTCCTGAGAGCTGGGCTTTGAAGGATTTGGCTCAGAAGTCATGAGGGGTGGGAAGGGCATGCCTGCTAAAGGGGACAGAGTGAGGAAAGGCTGGCAGGAGGAAATGAGATGCATCCTAGGGAAGAACCCCAAAATGGTGATGAGCCTGGAGGCAGCGGGACCTCGGTAACCCTTGAACTGATTAGAAATTCCCAAAGAAAATTCGCAGTTCCATCACTGACTAGGTGTGTTGCTTTATCTACAGAGCCTCAGTTTCCTTATCTGTCCAGTGAGGGTGATGACAGTCTGGGGGTCCTTGTGAGAGTCTAATGCCGTAGCATGCCTGCGCCTGGCACAGTGTTGGCGCTCTGGGTTTGCAGCTGCTGTTCGTTAATGGCAGCACTCAGGTGGCCAGGGGTGGATGTAAGCCCTACAAGGTCCAGGACCTTGAAGGCCTAGGAGGAGCCATGGCAGGAACCACGGGCACCTGCAGGCATCCCTGCGGGTGGGCAGGGCTTGGTGCCATGCTAGCATCTAACCCAGCCACGAGCTTCCTTCTGCAGGTCCTGGAACCCTGGCGTGGGGGGGGCCTCCTGCCGGCGAGCACCCGCGCCCTTCCCTGGCGTGAGGGTATGTGCCTTTGGACTACATCGTGGAAGCCAGCACCATGCAGTCCATGGGCATATACACTTGCCTCAAGGCCTATGTCATCGAGGAGCCACCGGAGCTGCCACTGCCACCAGGGAGGAAGAGGAGGAGCCGGGACGTGGGATGGCAGTGGTGGATGGGCTGGGGCAGGCCGGGCAGCCACCCCTCACCACTTGACCTCTCTGACCCCCCTTCTTCTCTTTCCTAGGGCTACATTGGACTCCCAGGACTCTTTGGCCTGCCAGGATCTGATGGAGAGCGAGTAAGTTTGCTCGTTTCATTATTCACCACCCACCACCCACTCCCGCCCAAGAAGAGCAGAGCCTGCCACACACCAGCCTGGGGAAGTCAAGGAATTCCTCCTGGAGGAGGTGCATTTGAGTCGAGTAGGAGTCTGATAAGGGGACACGTCGAGGCAGATGCGTTCCAGGCACAGGGAACAGCATGTGCAAAGTCAGGGATTTACAGTCACTTGGCCAGTTTCACAATCAGTGCCGCTAGAGTGCTGCGCAAGAGGGTGGCAGCGGTGGGAGCTGAGGCTGGAGAGGACCCTGGGGCAATGTCCTAGGCACCCAGGACTAAGGCAGGAAAGGGACCTTGAGGACTTGCAGCCAATGAAAACCAGGCCCGCTTTAGAGTATAGATCAGGGGTAGCAAACTGTGGCCACCGGCCAAACCCAGCCAGCTGTGTGTTTCTGCAAACAGTTTGATCGCTCTCAGCATTGCTCATTTGGTTACACATTGTCCCTGCCAGTTTCTCACTACAGTGGCAGCGCTGAGTAGGTGTGACCGGGACCGTGGGGCCCACAGAGCCAAAAATATTCACTATCTGCCCCGTTCCAGAAACCATCTGCTGATTTTTCTTTTAGACAGTTGAGTTCATTTACTTGAGTAAAATGTGTGGGTAGAGGGAGGGGACAGCAAGGCCAGGTGGCAGGAGTTCCAGTGCTCTGAGGACGAGATGGTGTGGCTGTACCTGGCTGGAGGCAGCAGACCGGGGTGGGTGTGAGGGACAGTGGGGAGGCAAGGCTGGGCTGGAAGCCTAATCTCTGCTTGGGCGCCGAAGAGATGGAGGCCCCCAGGGGGAGCAGCCGTCTGGGGAAAGCGGTGGGGCTGGTTTGGTGGGGGGCAGTGGGTGCTAAGATACCCCGTCCTTCCAGACCAAGTATCTAAGTCAGGGGAGTCCAAAAGATGGTGTGGGAGATTCTCACTGACCCCTGGCCCGGCCTGGAGGTCCACTAGAAGCCCCTGGGCTGGCAGCCTTGGGCCCTTCCTCCCCGCCCCCTCTCAACCTGAGCCTGTGTCTAAGGGATCTCAACTGTAACCACCATAAGCTGGATATACAGAACCTTAGGACAGCTGGAGCCTGAGCACTTATGAAGCATCTGCTGAATACAGCAACACTGCTGTCTCCCCAGCTTAGGTCACCACAGACCCCGAACCTGCCATCCGCCCAATGTGCGTGTGTTACTGGGGCTGCCACGCAAGTGACTCTGTGACTTCCCGCCATGGGTGGGTCTGGACTGGCTTGGGGCAAGCCTGGCGGTCCCCGCTGGCATCCTGACCTGACCTCTCCCCTGTCTCTCTCCTGCAGGGCCTGCCTGGTGTTCCTGGCAAGAGGGGCAAGATGGGTATGCCGGTAAAGATTTTCCGTGTCTATTACGCAGACTCTAGTGGGGAACGCCACTTCCCACGGCCACGCTGCCCTGGCCACCTGCTGCCTGGCTTCTTCTGCTTCTCTCCCTGCTTTGAGTGTGGGGGCCCACGTAGGGGGTTGTCTGGGCCACAGGACCTGCTTGGCACCCTGCGTGGCTGGGGCCTGGCTGGGGCTGGGGCTTCCGTGGGCTCTGGGCCCCTCTGGGGTAGCTCCTCTCTCCCTGTGGGCAGCAAGGTTCTCCAGAGCAGTTCTGTGTCTGGGGGGGCTTCTGTCTAGGGTATATGTGTCTGTGGGTCTGCTGTGACCGGGGGACCTTGGCCAGACCAGGTGACCCTGCTCCCATCTCAGGGAACACTCAGTCTCCATGTGGTCTTGGTGTCATCTGGCTCTGTCCAGTTTGCTCATGCACACGCAAGGCCAGGGGACAATGAGGCGTATGGGCAGGCCCACAGCAGGCATGACCCAAAGAGGGGCTCAGTGGTGACTCCCAGTCCACCAGCTTTGTCTGTGACTCCCCAGCACGGGAGGAAATTGTTTCTCCTCTTCCTTGTATGTGTGCAGCACATGGAGAAAAAGCCAAGGCACAGAGAGATTAGGTCACTTGCCCAGGGTTTCATGACGAGTGAACGATGCAGACAGAGTCCCAACTCGGTTGCTTTGTCCCTGGGGTCTTTGATCTCAGTGGCCGCTTGAGGCAGCCTCTCGGGATCCTTAGTTCGCGGTCATATTATAAAAATAGATTCCCTAGAATCTTCGCCTGGAAGGAAGGTCATTCATTCCAATTATTCAGAAGGGGGAAACTGAGGCTCTCTCTGAGAGGCAGAGTGAGATATCCGGGGTCCCTCTGCTGCTGCCCTGCAGGTTGACCCTTTGACTTGGCACCAGGATCAGCCCGAGTCTGGACTTCCCATCACTGGTGGCTGGTGAAGAAGGGAGTGTGAAGAGGGGGCCGGGAGCATTCCAGGGTGCTCAGAGAGGCCTCTCTGTGGTTCTGCCACTCATGGGCACGTTAGTTTCACTCTGTCACCCAAGCTGGAATGCAGTGGCAAGATCTCAGCTCACTGCAACCTCCGCCTCCTGGGTTCAAGCGATTTTCCTGCCTCAGCCTCCTGAGTAACTGGGACTACAGGCACGTGCCACCACACATGGCTGATTTTTTGTATTTTTAGTAGAGACAGGGTTTCATCATGTTAGCTAGGCTGGTCTCAATCTCCTGACCTTGTGATCCGCCCACCCTGGCTTCCCAAAGTGCTGAGATTACAGGCGTGAGCCACTGCGCCTGGCAGCTGTTGGAGCTTTTAACCTGGATCCTCTGGGGGCCAAAGAGGAAAAAAAGGAAGAGAAAGACCCAGGTCCTAGCCTCAAAGAGCTGAGATGACAGAGGAGGTCCCTCCGCCCCCAACCTAGACCCCTCTGTGGTCTGGACAGGCAGTCTTCTCTCAGGTCCAACCTGAGACTTGGACCTGGGCAAGGAGCAGCACCTGATGCTCCCAGCTTCAGGGCAAGGACCTGGAGTCTAAGAGGGCTGGGCTGGCACCTGGGATTGTCCCTCAAGCCAGCATGACCTTAGGCAAGGAGATTCATTCATCCAGTGAATATCTATTCATCCAGTGACTATCTGTTGAATGCCTATTCTGGGCTAATCATTTTGCTTTGGGCAGAGAGTGGATAAGACAAAGTTCCCACTCTCTTGGGGCAGACAGACAGATATACAGTCACTGAAAGGGGAAACGGAAGAATGAACAATGAAATGAAGGTTAGGTAGTGCTGAATGGAAATACAGAGTAGGATAGGGAGACAGGGACAGCCTGGAGGTTGGCTCTTGGATAAGTTAGTCCCGAAAGTCCCCCCCACTGTATGAAGAATCTTAATGAGGTGTGCGTGGGAGCTGTGTGGCTTTCCAGGCGAAGGCCCTGGGGAAGGAGCAGGCTTGGTTCAAATTTTCTGAACCATAGTTTTCTCATCTGAGAAGTGAGGACAATAGTATACCTTATAAGATCATTATGCCTGTCACATAGTAAGTACTCAATAAACAGTAGTAGCCCTTGTTCCTCTGTGGTTTCCTGGATGGCTGAGGGGCTCTCTGTATTGTGTGATACTGAGCCAATGACTTCACCTTTGCTGGGTCTGGTTTCCCACAGTTGAAGTTGCAGAGTGGGAGGATTTGACTTGCTTAGATGGTCTTAGCTGGGCCCTGCCCCAACGCTCAGGCCAGCCCCAAGGGCTGCCTTTGGGGGATTTGTTCAAATGCATCCTGGGAGCCTTACCGAGGGCCAGGCATGGCTGCTTTACAGATGAGACAGCCTCCTGAGAGGTAGAGGATTAGGTCAAGATCACATGGCTGCTCAACGTCAGAGCTGGATTAGAACACAGCCAGAGCTTCCAGTGCCAAAGTGTACCTGTTTAGAGCTTGGGGTCCAGCTTATCCTGAGCATGGAAGAGACAAGACCCACAAAAACCTGGGCATGTCATGGCCTCTTCTCCAACCAGATACAACAAGGCTGTCAGCAGGGCCATGCCTCAGTTTCCCCCTTCCACCCTATCCTCTGCATCCTCTTCATCTCCCCTCCCAGCAGCCCCTTGATCCACCTTCTCCCTGCCGTGTACGTGTGTTCCTCCTGGAGCTGAAAGTCACACTGTTCATAGCCTGGCTGAGAAGCAGTCCCAGGTTTGAGGCGCCATCATCCTGCCTGTGTGAGATAAGGTCATGCATTCGTTCCTCATTCAACCAAAGATTATTGGTTGAATATATCACTGTATGCCAGGTGCTAAGCATAATACTGTAGCCAAAACAGACAAATATCTCTGTTGCCATGGAGCTCAAATTTTAAGGGTAGAGACAATCAATAAACAGGACAAATAGCCAGAAGAGGGCATGGTTGCCACCCTAAGTACCCCGCAAGTGAAAGGAAGCCACGTGTATTGAGGCCATTGGTGTGCACAGTATTTGGGTGACATGTGATTCTCCCAGTGAACCTTTGAGGCGAGATTGATTATCCCCATTTTCCAGATGAGAAAACTGAGGCTCAGACTGTCAATGAAAGCCATTTGTCCATAGACCCTCTGAATCCTTGCCAGACTGAGAACTTCTGTCTGCTTCCTTGCTTCTTGCCTTTAACTTTCTAAGACTAGGCCCTGACCTCTATGACAGGGGCGTCCCCTCACACTGGGGTGTCAGATGTGGGTGGAGAGAAACACCTTCTCAGCCCTAGGCCCATGCAATACCCTTCAGAGCCATGAAAATACCCTGGACTCTGTCCCAGCCACCATGGCCAGCACATCGGCCAGGCTTGTATCAGATGTGATTTAATGTGCGTGTAATAGGACTTCACGTCGGCTGAGTCCCTACAGCTTGTCTCTGTCTCCGCCGGGCCTCTGAGTCTGCCATGCCCCTCAGCCTAAAGACCCTGGGCAGTCTTTAGGGCCGTCCCTCTGTTGCTCCCAAGCCCTTGAGCTGCCTGGCAGGGTTGGGTGCTCCTGTCTTAAATGGCTTTTCCTCCTTATCCAAGCTTTGGGCCAGGCAGTTTCTAGGCACTTATTAAGAAAAGAAAGTATCAGGGGAATGAGCTGAAGTCCTTCACGCCAGATCGCAGCTGGCGTCACTTCTGGCAGGGCTGGTGATGATTTTGCTGTAGTCAGCCTTTCCCCAGCAGGCAAACCCTTGGGCTCATGCATGCGGTCTTTCTATCCAATTTGGAAAGCTGATGTGTGAGTCTTTTACTAGTGAGAGCTGAGGAAGGCAGTGCAGGTTGAAGCACATCAGACCCGTGGGAACCTGAGTGACAGCCTGGCCCAAACTCTTTTTCAGACAGATAAGCAGACACAGCCCAGGGAGGGCAAGACACTTGCCCGAGGTCTCACAGCAAGTCATTGGCACAGTCAAGACTTGAACCCAGAACACGTGCTCTCCAGTGCAGAGTACTCTCCACATGGCTCCCTCTTCTCTCTGCTCCTACCTTCAACCTCCAGAGGAAAGCTCGGTCCATAGCTCTCATCCCTCATACTGCTTCTAAGAGAATGCGCCATGGTTTTCTGAGGAGGGGTCCAGATAGAAAATGTTCCCAACTTGGCTGGAGCTGAATGGGTTTCTCCTGGCCTACCCTGGCTTGTTGGGCATGGCTCAGTGTCACTCACAGTGAGAGACGGAGCCGCGTTTCCCAGCCAAGGGTCTCCACGGTGGGCTAGGAAGATGCTGCCATGAGTCTTCCTGCCTGTCTTCTCCAAATGTTCTTTCAAACCCACTGGGCTAGTCCTGCAGGGCAGGCCACCACTCATAGCTTTTCTCACGGCCTCTGGCCTGGCCTGCCAAGGCTGGCCCGGTGAGTGAGTCTGGAGGGAAGACCCTAAAGCTTAGAGCAGGAAGGGCCCGGCCCTGGCACCAACCCCTGGGGTGCGCCTCAGGGATGACTGGGACTTGCTCATGGCCACGCAGTCCTCTGGGAAGAGGCAGGGCTTCTAACACAGTACATTTGGGCTTCAAGTTCATGGCTCTTTCCAGTTCTCAGATGATGGGGAGCAGGCAGCCAAGTGACAGAGAATTCCTATTTCCAGGTGGGAAAACTGAGGCCAAAGTAGATTAAGGTTCTTAGCTGAGGTGACGCTGTGAGCTGGGGATGTGGCCCCCAGTGTCCCAGATGTGAGCCAGAGCTGACCCGGGCTGTCAGTGTCAGATAGGAGAGGACTCTACCTATCTTCTCCTTATTCCCTGAGGTGACTTTTCTTGAGTAGGTTTCCTTGTGGATTTCAGAAGCGCAGGGTAAAAACATGTTCAGACCACGAGAGAAGGGTGCTGGGAGACCTCAGGGAGTCTTTCCATGCCAGCAGGCTTGGAGCCTGCACACCTAGAAAAGAATGTGGCTAGGAAGGATGCAGGTTAGACTTATGCAGGAACTTCCAGATTTTGGAGAATGTCCACCTCGTAAGAAGTTCTCCGAGATCCTTTTGCGGGCTCCTCCTAGAGGTTATGAAATATTCCCACTCTTGATATAAACCCTAACTAGTGTAGTGATGGCACATCAGAGTTGGCCAGGGGCTGGCTAGGAGCATCTCACGGTTTCTGCAGCCCAGCCCTGCCAGGTGAGTGGGACAGTGCTGACTGTTTTGCAGGCCAGGGACCTGAGCCTTAGAAGCATTAGTGGGACTTTCGTTCTAGATGTTCCTTGCTTCCCTGCCCCTGTATCCCACCCTCTGGAGCAGACAGTTGGGATGGACACTTCCTGGAGGCAGAAGAGTGGAGGAGATAGCCTTGTGAGTTCTCCTTGGTGTCCTGCTTCGGATGTGGTGGCAAGGACCGTCCCTGTCCTCAGCTCTCCTCCTCTGAGTTGTTGTGACCAAGAGAGAATGCGGAGTCTCAGTTGCAAGCCTTGTTCTGTCTCCTCCTGGGCCTTCTGCTCCAAGTATGATGTGTTTAGTTCTCCAGAGGGGCCCAACCTGGGGAAGTAGAGAAACCACGTGGCTGGGGCCTCGGCAGGGAGCCAAGTTCATTCCTTGGGCCTGGGGCCAGCCCGCTGCAGCCCGGCATGTGGAGGAAAGTTCCTGCTGCTGGCCAGGCTGGGGGTGCATGCCATGTGGTCGCCTCACACACGCAGGCATGCCGGACAGAGGGAAGCAGATGGGACTGAAGTGGGGGCTATACATCCAGCTCAGCAGCTGCCTCTCTGAGACGCAGGGAGCTTTGGGGTGACTGCTGGAAATGGCTCTGCCACTTAGTAGCAGAGGGGTGAGGCAAGGTGGTGGGTGAGAGGTTTTGGGTGTGTTCTGGGCTGCAGGCTCCCCATTGGTGTAATAAGGTGTGAACATCAAGAATATCTCGGGTCCCTTCATCCTTAGACCATTCGTTCCAGCGCCTTTAAAACTCTTTTTTCCAACCACTGTGCTCTTAATTACAAACCCCGGATTCCTAGAGGTCATCTGCTTGACCGCTCCATGGGAAGGGAGATTGAAGCTGGAGATGGGAGTGGCTACTGGAGGCCCTCAGCGTGTCCAAGCAGAAGCAGTCCTGAGCATCAGCAGTGCCATTCCTTTCTGCACATCAGCTCAGAGCTCTAATGAGTGCTTTGAGAGCCCGTAGGCTGGTTCTAGTCCATCTGGTTCATTCAGGGTCCAGTTGCAGCTAAGAGAGCAGGTTCTGGAGTCACACTGCCTGGGTTCGAATCTCATCTCTGCTATTCCAGGGCTGTGTGACTTTGGAAACGTTTCCTAACCTCTCGGAATCACAGTTTCCTCATCTTGAAATGCAGCCGATAATAGGACCTGCTGGCGATCTCGCTGTTGGCGTTTGCTGTGGCTGTCACTGTTTCATCCCAACATCCCTCTGGCTAGACACAGGCTACATTTTGTCTGCAGAAGTTACTCCCCTCCAGAAATTGACTCAAAATTCTGATGACCATCTCTCCCTTGCTTATACCTCAGAGACATTCCTTCATGTGGCTGTGGCCTCCCATGTGGCTGTGAGGTCTCACCCTCCATGTGGCTCCCCAGCTAAGAAAACTGAGGCCCCAAGAGGCCCGTGGGTGGTGCAGCCGGGACTGTCACAGGGCAGCTGGCCCAGCAGCTGGGCCTGAGGAGGCCTTAAGCCACCCCAGAACAGCCTCTGAATGCAGACCTATGGATCTGAGACCTGCCTGGTGGTTGCTGTTTGTGAATATATTGGGTATCACAGGGTCCTAAAGGGTCCCTAGGGATCACACCCCCCCAGCCTGAGCAGGACAGAGGGTCAAGTGTGGGGGCCTGCCCAAGGTCAGCCAGCCAGCCTGGAGGAGAGCCGGGGCTAACCTGCAGCCCATCTCCACGTGTGGGACTTGGAGAACAGAGAAGGGGCTACTCAAGTCCTGTCCCCGGTAGGCCACGTGGAGTCAGCCAGGTGCCCAGCCAGACAACAGCCCCCTTGTCTCAAGGAGCTGCGCTCCTCTCCTGCCAGGTCTTTCTACCCCAAAGTCTAGAGGCCAGAGGTGGGAACTCGGTGTCTTCAGGAGGTGCCCCTGGCTGGGCGCCATGGCTCACACCTGTAATCCCAACACTTTGGGAGGCCAAGGCAGGCAGATCGCTTGAGCCCAGGTGTTCGAGACCAGCTTGGGCAACATGGAGAAACTCCATCTCTACCAAAAATACAAAGATTAGCCAGGTGTGGTAGCTGTGCCTGTAGCTCCAGCTACTCGGGAGGCTGAGGCGGAAGGATTACTTGAGCCTAGGAGGCAGAGGTTGCAGTGATCGGTGATCACGCCACTGCAGTCCAGCCTGAGTGACAGAGTGAGACCCTGTTTCATGGAAAAAAAAAAAAAAAAAAGAAAGAAAGAAAAAGAAGGCTTCCCTGGCCACAGCCTAGCTGGCCGATTCTGGTTTCAGGAGGTGACATGGATCCACCTTCAGCATGACCAAGAAGGGCTAGTTTGGGTGAGAATGGAATTTGCCAGAGGAGACCCTAAGGATGTCAGGGGAGGAAGCTCAGGTAAGGTCAGATGTGCCCCTGCAAAGACATGATCTGGACACACACACAACCTCCCCTGCCACACTCCTCTGCCACCCTCTGCAACCACTGGGACACGCGTTTGAGCAGCTTCTGCAGACAAGGCCTGTGCGCAGCCCATATGAACATGTCAGACTCCAGAGGTGGACCTGGGCTCTGCCGCAAACTTGCTTTATGACCTTGGCCAAGTGATGTTGCCTAGCTGAGCCTTGATTTTCCCATCTGTGAAATAGAACCGGTAACTTTTTCCTCAAAGGTAGATATCAAACGCAAGTGAGGTGTTGCATGCAAAGTGACCAGCTTGGTGTGAATTTCATGATTGTCTTCTTGTTTCCTCCTTTTGGTGTCTGAATGAAGCCACACCTTCTGTGGGGTGAATGTCAACCCAAGAGGGCCTCCTGGCAGAGGAGAGATTTGAAGGGAGCAGGACTGTGGGGCAGGGCCAGGCTAAACACTTGTATGCACACACACATTTCAAGGTGTCTTTGTTTAACCGGTAGAGACTTCGGTTTGGGTTTTGTTTCTAGGCTTGGTGTTTTGGGTTTAGTGTGCTCCCTGGACTCCTCCAGTGGTATTAGAAACCAAAACCGGGGTGATCCTCTGTGAGGAATGTTTACCATTTGAATCACAGCTCCAGCATTCACTTGGTCAGGAAAACATGTGCTTTGTTTTTTTTTAATTACATTTCCCTGGAAAAACAACGATTTGAATTCAAGGAGGGGAGGAGAACAGGTTTCCCCAACTCCAAGCTTGAGGACTTTCTTTTCCTTTTGAAGTAGGAATGGAGTTCTGTCCCCGGCCCCCAAAGGCGTCCCCACAGCTGATATTTTTCCAGCTGCCCGTCTCCCCAGAGCATGGAGTGGCCTCCAGAGTGGGGTCAGGGAGGGGGTGAGAGGGCCAGACCTGCCTGGGCTGGGCAGCTCAGCATCTCTCTGAGCTGCTGAAACACCTGTGGAGGCTGGGCTGCTGTTCACTGGTGACGTGACCTTGTGTGACCTTGCCACTTAACTCTTTCACGGTCTCATTTCCTTTATCTATAAAGTGGAAATCACGATATTGGAAATAGAAGCTCGGTGCCACAAAGAAAAATCAGCACTGAGACAAAGGATCTTTCAGCAAAGCAATTTTTACTTCCTGGACTGCAGGAAGGGTACTCTCACTAGCCATCTTGCCACAGGAGTACAATGAATGATGGAAAACACACAAATTTATTCTTTATACATTTGGCGTCGTCCTTACTGCTGTGTCTGATCTCCATTGGCTGGAGTCAGACCTCACCATCGAAACTAAAACCCAATTGGCTAACAACTTAAAACTTTTCTAAACAGGTAAAAGCAATGGAGAGCTGGGACATGTCTGTGAGCATGTCCAGCACAGATATCTTCATTAAAGTACAAGGACATAGAATGAACCACATGCCTGTAAGCATGGCATGTCTAACAGCTACATGGGATAGGGCTTACCAAAGTTATTAGCACACTTATTCTTTAACGAGAAAGGAAAGTTTAAAAAAGAACTTTTCTACTTCCCACAGGGATTTCACCGGGTGACTTTTGAAAAACGTGCCACAATCAGAGAAGGTCTGATCTGAAACACAACAGAGGCCTTCTGGGGAAACAGAGGCTCTTCAAACTGGCCTAGACCCAGCTACCTGCCCCTAGTCTGTGTCCTTCCCATTTCATCAGGACCAGGTCCCAGATTAGGGGATTGGCATTTTCATGCTGGGGAACTGGGTACCGTTTTCTTTTCAGACACTGAGTAGAAAAGGAAAGGACCCCTGAGAAATTCTTTGTGTGAAGCTGCTTGTTGATGGTAGGGGTGACCTCAGCACCCTACTGTCTGCCCATGACCAAGGAGTGAGACGGCCTTGACATTGTCCTTGTGTCCCCCCCGGGAGGCGGGGTCTGGTTCAAAGCCCACCCTGCAGGTGAAAACACTAACCTACCGTGTCTGTTCTCTCTCATGCCCTCCAGGGGTTTCCTGGAGTCTTTGGGGAAAGAGGCCCTCCCGGACTGGATGGAAACCCTGTAAGTATTTAAAGTCTTTGCGAACAGGAGAGAGATTCCGAGTGAACACACAGCAGATTTTAGGAGCCCACACTTTAGGGTCAGACAGACCTCGGTCAAATTCCAGCCCTGTGAACTACTAGCTGGTCACCCTTGGATGAATTACACGATGTTTCTAAACGCTAGGCTTCTGTCTACTGTGGCTGCCCTATTTCCCCCCTGTAAGAGTATCCAGCCCACTGAGCCCCTGGGCCCAAAGCTCCAGGCTGCACCCCATTTCCAGGACTTCGGGTCACTCCCCACTGGAGAGGCCCCGGCTGCTGCCATCTTACAAAGCATCAGAAATGTTTATGGGCCAGCAGAGGCCTGGGGAAGCACACGGTTTGCAGGCCCTGTTTGGAGAAAAGGAAGAGCTGAGTTCCAAAGGAATCTCCGTTACAGGCATGTTTATAGAGTTTGTAAATAATTAGAGGTCCAGGCTGTGTTCCACGAGGAGCCAGGTCAGCCTGTCCTGAGGAGCTGAGTCTGTCTTTCCCTTCCCAGCTCCACGCCCTGGGCCGGTGGCAGAAGGTGTTTGAGGTCCCCGTCTCCCCATGGGGCTTCCTGCCTGAGTAGCCATGCCAGCTGTGCCCTCTGCAGAGGTGGTTGCTGTATTCATAACCAGTACCCGATGAGATGCTAATTCAGTTCACAAATGCCCCCTGAGCCTGACCCAGCCAGGCTCCCTTGGGGATTATAGCCGTGACCTCAGAGCCATATACAGACCTGGGTTTGAGTTTTGTTGCACTGCTTGTCAGGTGTGTGAGCTGGAACAGATCCATTCACCTCCCTGAATCTCAGTTTCCTTGTCTGTCAAACGGGGGAATCAGAATTCCAGCCTGAGGCTGGGTGCAGTGGTTCACGTCTGTAATCCCAGCACTTTGGGAGGCTGAGGTGGGTGGATCACTTGAGGTCAGGAGTTCGAGACCAGCCTGGCCAACATGGCAAAACCCTTTCTCTACTAAAAATACAAAAAATTAGCCAAGCATGGTGTTGCATGCCTGTAATCCCAGCTACCTGGGAGGCTAAGGGGGAGAATCGCTTGAACCCAGGAGGCTGAGGTTGCAGTGAGCCAATATCGCACCACTGCACTCCAGCCTGGGCGAGAGTGAGACTCCATCTCAAAAATAAATAAATAAATTAATTAAAGAGAGAGGGCTGTCGTGAAAATGAAAGGTGGCAGGCAAGGTGTTCCACATGGGTTTGGTGGGTGAGGCTGTGTAAAATACTGGGTAATCCAGGGCACAGTCCCTGCCTTGGAGGAGTTCGAGGGCCATTGCGCCCATCTGTTATACAGCAGGCAGTGGGGTGGGTGGGATCAGAGAGGTCCCAGGTGCCTCTTTGGAGAAGGGAACAGGAAAGGCTTCCGGGGACAGTGATATTTGCATCAGGATGAGGAGATAGGTGGGAGACATTCCAGGTGGAGGAAGGGGCACCAGCAAAGGCACGGGACCTGGGAAATCCGAGCCTCTCCCTCCACACATCCCTTGTTGGATTAACTGTTAATGATATACAGCATCATTTGCAAGTTTTCTTGGGGAGGGGCAGGGATGTCTTTATGCTCCTGGCATAGAGGAACAGAGAAGGCCCAATGTCTGTCACTTCCCCTCATTTGAAGCAAAGCCCGCCTCTTACTTCTCATTGCTAATCACAATGTCTAGAGCCCTGAAGTTTTTTTTATTTTTTTATTTTTGAGGTGAAGTGTCACTCTGTTGCCCAGTCTGGAGTGCAGTGTCTCGATCTCTGCTCACTGCAACCTCCACCTCCGGGTTCAAGCAATTCTCCTGCCTCAGCCTGCCGAGTAGCTGGGATTACAGGCACACACCACCATGCCCAGCTAATTTTTTGTATTTTTAGTAGAGGTGGGGTTTCACCATGTTAGCCAGGATGGTCTCAAACTCCTGACCCTGCGATCTGCCTGCCTAGGCCTCCCAAAGTGCTGGGATGACAGGTGTGAGCCACCACGCCCAGCTGAGCCCTGGAGTTTTATTCTCACCTTTCCATTTTTAACTTGACTCAAACTCCTCCTCATTTCTCATGTGGGCAATGGAAGATTCATGTTTACGATGGAGAAACGGAGGTGTAGGGGATAAGTCACACAAAATGTCGTCTCCTGACTCCCAGGCTAGAACTCTTTCCAGGCTCTGAGGGCCCTGGGAGAAGGACATGTGAGAGTGTGGGGTGCTGGGGAGGAGTCTCCTTTCTTCCACCTGGGAAAGGGAAGGAGGCCAGCTTGGAGGCTCTCAGCCGGGGCCCTCGGGCTTTGTCATTTCCTTGCACCTGGCCTTGGGTGAATCAAACTCTGGAACTTCAGTTTTCCTGTCTACAAAGTGAGCGTGCAGTGTCAAGCACCATGCACATCTGTATGACCGTGATTGCGATTCCACTCATTCTGTTATGCTTACAATGGGAAGATGCTGGATTTGGAAATCTGACCTCCCCATTTGACAGATGTGGAAAGCTGATGGCAGAGAGGGGATGGGTGTGGTCCAAACTCCAGGCCAGACTCAGGAAAGTCCCTGGAGCCTGCGGTCAGGAATAAGGAGTGTTCAGCTCTGAAAGACCCCGCCAGGTGCCTGTGTGGAGGATGACATGGAGGGAGGGGCCCTGGAGGGAGACGTGACAAGTAACCACCTTGGTCTCTCTATCTGCAGGGAGAACTGGGCCTGCCAGGCCCCCCTGGAGTCCCCGGCCTCCTTGTAAGTACATCAGTGCCTGTGGGCAGTGGGTGCATGTTGGGGAGATGCAGGGTGAGGCCGCTGTGTAGGGAGCCAGGAGCAGGCCCCGCAGGGGAGGTCGAAAAGGCCCTTTTCTCATCCAACCCCCAGAGGGGCTGGGGTCCAGGAGAGAACAACCTGGGCAGGGAAGGCAGGTGGGGGAGGGAGGGCAGGCTGAGGGAGGAGAGCCCTGCTGTGTGGTTTCAGGTGCATCACCTGCCTTCTCTGAGCTTGTTTCCTCATTAGTTAAATGAGATCGGTGCTTGGAATGCAAGATTGCCAAAGTACTTTCACACCCACATGGGGGTGTGGGCAAGTGATGGCATGCTCATTTGATAGGTGAGGCTCATTTCCAGGTGCAGAGGGAGGAGGTAGCGCCACGGTGGTCTTTTTCACTCTTTTCCTCCAAGCAGACTTGGAGGCAGACCACCTAGGTTCAAGTCACAGGCCTGCGACATCCTGGCTGTGTGACCTGGGCCAAGTCACTTACCCTCTCTGGGCCTAGTTTCCTCATCTGTGAAATAGAGATGACAGCAGAATCATCCTGGAGTGGTCGTGAGGATTAAACGAGGCATCCTATGTGTAATCCTTGGCACAGGATCTGGCACCCAGTAAGTGCTGGTGGAAAATATTGTTATAATTATTCTTGTTATTACCTCCTGAAATGCCCAGGGCTGAGAGAGGCCGGAGGAGGTGGGAGGCGAGCTGACCTGCCTCCATCCAGGTGGAGCAGGCCCTGAGGAATGGTTCTAGCCAAAGCCAGGGGCCCTGCTGGGCTTTCAGTGGAGTGAGTCTTAACCTTGGGCCCAGCCCCAGGGGCCAGTGAAAGGTCAGAGCCTGGGAAATGACACTCGAAGTGTCCCCATAGTCTGATGCTCTCTCTGCCCCGTCCACTGCGTCATTCCTCAAGGGGTTTGAGTCTGGGCACCCATGGAGGGACAAAAGTAAACTCTTTGCCACTTCGGCAACTGTGCTGAGGAATTCTGCTGAGAGAGAGACTGGAGGAGGCCCCTGGGGGAGGCAAGGGACCCTATCGCTCAGGGGAGGCTAGTCCTGGGAAGAGGGCCCAGATGTCCCCATGGCCATCTGTGCCTGCCCAGGTGAGTGGAAACAGAACCTGGGTGGGATGGGCAGAAGGTGAGAGCCCTCTGGCTCTGGATCCTGGCTTTGCTGCCTCCTGACTCTGAACTTCACCTTGGCCTCGTTTCCCTGAGTCTCAGGGATCCCCTCTGTGAAATGGGATGATTGTACCTACTTTTATTAGGACCACAGAAGCACAGTCCATTCCAGTCCAGTGGCTAAGAGGACGGTTTCTGGAACCAGACCGCCAAGGTTCAAATCCTAGCTCTGCCACTCATATAATCACAATCCTGAGCGAAATATTTAACCACCCAATGCCTCGGTTTCTTCATCCGTAAAATGGGAGCAATATTGGTACCTAACTTGGAGGATGGTTGTGAGTGAGAATGTAGATAAATTAATATGTGAAGTGCCTAGCATATAGTAAGCACTCAAGAAGTACTAGTTATGATAATAACAGCTATTGTTGGTGTTATTATATTACACATACATGTGATATTTCACACCTGGTAGCAGCTATCTGGATTGCTGAATTGAGAAAAATTTCGCAGTCACATTGGAACTTGGTGGGAGAGGTTGCTGCCATTGATTAGTGATGTCTGCTTTGGCTGGGGTTGAGGAAGTGTCAACACATGAGTCATAAATTTGTCATCCCTGATGTCCATTCAGTAGGACTTTGCTGAGCACCTTCTTTGGCACAAGGCATTGACCTAAATGCTTTGGAAAAAGAAACATCTGCCATGGGAGTTAGAGAACTCTCTAGAAGTCTTCTCAACTGATCCTCTCTAAGCCCAACAGGAATCCCTTCTGGAGCATCTTGGTCATATGGTGATTAAACTCCAAAATGAACACCTCCGGTGTTAAAAGTCCCTCCCTCTCTGAGAGCCCCGGTCATTCTACAGAGCTGTCATTGTTCGGTGTTTTCCTGTGGATTGAGCCCAACTCGTTTGTGCTTCCCAGGGCTCCTTCTTCAGGCTAAACAATCCCAGTCTCCAAAGCCTTTCTGAGGGGATGTTTACATATCCTGGCTGTCATCCTTGGCACCTGTTCCTGTTTGTCATTGTCCCAGTGTCTGCTAGGTTGGGTCCTGAGAGGAGCAAGAATATTGCTTGGTGGGATAAATGCAGATTCTGGGTTCTTGGACTATAGCATCGTAGCCCTCTTGGTTCTTTTTTTTTTTTTTTTTT